GCACACAGCTATGCAATATTCTAGGGTACCAGTGTAGCCCATCAGTCTAGCCATTAAAGCCACATAGGGGCAATCAAGAAACAGACTATGATTTCAGGGTCCTTTTGTGGCAGCGTGTTTTTATATTCCAGCCTTTTCTTAGAGCTAGAAGCAAAGGATGAGTGCATCTTCTCTTCCCTGCCCACCTTCCTCCTACACCACAGGAATAAATTGTCACTCATTAAGTTAATATGCCACATTAGTTTACAATTAAGCTATCACTAGCAATAATGATATATAATGTGCATTCATCGTAACTGCAGTGCACGATTCAACATAAACCTGACAAAGTTTTCCATACAACTGCTTATCCCCAACACACTGTATAAAGAAAATAAAAATTTGGACTGAATTGAAGGCCACTACAAGTACAGGGAGAAAAAAAACAATCCCCTTTTTATGAGTTTCTAAGCAGCTAAAATCTGCTACTTTCTGGGCTGCCGACAGGTACGTATTTTGTTTATTGTTTACTGAGTGATTTGGTTCCTCTTCATATGTTATTCCTATTGGGTACCTTTTCTACAGACACTAACTGAAAAGGTGCAAACACCAGTTATACCCATACAAAACACAAATATCCCTATTCAGTAAATACTATATTGAAGATACAAGAGAGTAAGATAGTATTCACAAATAGGGGGAAAAATATATTAGCATAGCATGAGCATGTATTAGCTTCTCCTTTGTAAAACTCTTGAATATTTTGAGTGTCCAGAGGTTAAAAAAGAAAGAAAAGAAAGAGAAGCCATGTAAGGGCATTACTGTGGTGGTGATTTTTTTGCTAGAAAGTAGTTGTTAGTACATTTTTTCAAGATGAAAAGAGTCTCTGCCAAAAACTCATAATGTCTAGAAGTCACAGAACATGCTGTTTCTATATTTTATTACACCACATGAAAGTGGAAAAGAACCCTCAAAAGTTATTGATTATTCTTATTCTACAAATTACAGCAATATAATTTTTTTTCTGGAAACCAGGTCTCTGAAGACATTTACAACATGCTGTACAGTATATACAGTGTATATGAGGTCTGTAGTGGTCTAAAAAAACACATTGGAATAGTTTCTGCCAGTGGATTACCGTAAGCATCAGCATCTAGTTTTTGGAGCTGCTTTTAGTATAGAATAAAATAATTAATCAGCCATATATATTTTTTAAGAGACAAGAAGTGAGAGACCAAAGGACCTGACTGAGTCATTTTCTTAGTAATCAAGAATACAAAGTTACAGAAAGATCCAGTCTTGTTAATTGCAGTTAATACAGCATTCATACATATAATGAACAGCGATACCTCAACAACGGCAATCATACAAGGAGCTTCTCTCATACGCAGACACCATAGAAATGATGATAATAGAGCTCCTTGAAGACCTGGAAAACAAGTGGTTTTCACCCTTGTTCTTTTCTTACTTTCAGCACCGTAAGCCCTATTTTCCTGTCCCTCCTACCCTAAGGGAAAAGCCTTGATCCAGAATGGCCTAAGACCATGGAAAACGTGCAAAACAGAAAAGAGAAGTGTTTTGTAGCTGCCACATTAATACTTTTAAAACACACTAAAAGCCTTAAATCAAAGGTGTTAGCAAGGATAAGTTCTTTGTTATTATCCAGCTGCCATTTATTTGGAAATCTCAAAGACTGTGGCTTTCTTGAAATAATTCCAGGATTTCTTGGATCCTGCCAAGGCAGACCCTGAAAGAATAACTTCTCTTGTGATACTCTGATCCTTTTCCTTCCATTCACAGTAATGACCAGGAAGATCAAGATCATATAATCCCATCCCCCCACTCCACCCCCTCAAGGACTGAAGCAAACTGCAGAAAAATGTTAGCTTCAGTATAAGCTTTGACTAACACAGTGTAGATTCTTATGTTAACAGAAATCATAGAAATTTGAGAACTAAAACACCTATTATGTCATCTAATCTATGCAGTTGGCAGGGAAGGATTTGTTCCCTAAAGCACATTTTATATGGCTTTATTCATTCCAATTTTAAATGTCAGAGCTATGAAGCTCCCACTGCTTTCTCTGAGAAAGCTGATTTGTTTATTGTTTAAATTAATTTCACAATCTCCAGTTATTGCAAACATACTTAAGATGCTGTTCTTAATAAAAATATGGAATGATCTCAGTAATTTGTATCAGCTTTAAAACAGCCAGTGAATATTCAACCTACAAGTTCTCTTGAAATATATCTTTGCATACAACAGACTGTTCTTTTACTGTTAAGGAATGCAGGAATCTCTAAGTATTTGGCAGTCAGTTTCTGATGCAATTACAAAATTTTATCCAAACTGATGTGCTTTAGTAATCAGTTCAACATGATTCATAAACTTGGCTTTTTTACACAGTTATATTTCTGAATGGATTTTTTAGTTATTTCCAAGCACTACTGGGTAGCAAATACCAAAAGTTACACTTTGCTCCCCGTATTTTTATGGTTTTGCTTCTTTATAAATTCAAATAAAATAAAAAATTTGAAAATTAGTCAGAAACAATTTTTTTATTGTTGATTTTCCCATCTTGAAGAATAATATCTATCTAACTCTTATGAAGAAGACTGGTGATATTGAAGAGATTATTTAGAATAGATACTTAACCTATTTTTTTTACATTACTGGGAAGGCAACTCAAGTAAAAGTACAGATCCACTGTATATGCAACTTTGCTAAGTAGGAAGAAATTCATATGTACCTATAAGTTCTGACATAGCTCTCAAGAAAAAAAAGATTTTTAAGAGTAACCATAATTAGTGTTAGCTGTAGCTGAAACATGGATAGCTATAAATATATACAAAATCTGGGTAATTTTATATTATCTTTTCTTTTAGAGAGAAAAATTGACTAGCCTACTGATTCAGTAGGTAAGGTTTTTGCTCAGTAAAACTATTTCACCTACATTGAAAGAAAATTACAGGATTGAAAGGACTGAGACTAAATCTTTACAATTCTCATATATGAACACTTTTCACCGAAGGAATATTTTCCAAAGTCATAAGAAAAATGGACACATTAAAAAAGCCTGCTCTTTAATGTACTATGATAGCATCTGTATTTACTGTACATGATACTATCTTTATGGCATACAGAGATTGTCTTTCTGTTTGAGCTGCCTAAAATATTGTGCTGGTCTTGACCTTGGAAACGTTTCTTAAGCATTTACTGTATTATTACAGAGATCTTTTGCCAGAAGAGTCACTGCAGAGCCATGACTCTTTGGGGGCTTTCCATATTAGGGGTTTTCTTGCTCTGGATTAAGCATGCCAACAGTATTTAGTTGCTGTTCTGTATTTAGAACTGATTTGCAGGAATGGATTTTGGTAAGAAATGTTGAAACTTACTCTATTTCATTGAGTTAAGTTCACTCCCACAAGACAATTTAGGGAAACATCCATTAAGAAAGCTCTTACAAACTATTCAGTACTACACTAGCTACAGCAGATTTGTATAGCAGATTCCCAAATACTTCAGGAAATATGCACTTATTCATCCACAATTGTAATAGCCGTAAAAGACTGTTAAGAATGTGCATTTAAAATATACTTACGTTATAGTTTATGGCAAAATTATCATAGAGCCTTGAAAAATAATGATTGACATTTAAACAGAAATATATTCAACTGAACTACTAGCCTAAAAAACACCACCCAAGGAAAATATAAAATGTCTCTTAATCGTCAGTCATAAACTTTCTGTGAAATACCTTAGCTCCACTTTATTAAAGCGAAAAATGTTTAATTTAATTTATGATATAAATTGCATAGCACATCCACACAGGAGCTTCAGATTTAAGGTTAAGTCATTTAACTCCCATAGTAACCTTTTAATGTCCAGACTCTCTTTCTGCACTGTCACTGTAACACTACCGAAAGATTTCTCCACGTGTAACAGTAGGACATAATCCTGGCATGACTACCTGCCTGAACTCACTCTGGAGCTGCAATACCAACTGTTATGTACTTCCATAACATGTGACATCAGTAGTGGCTATCCAGTAAATAACAATCCTGTATATGCTCTGGGACCATCTTATATTTATTTGTCATATCAACACTGTGGTTACAGTATCCTGCTGATGTCACCCAGTAAGAGCTGGAGTTTTGTTATAGATGTCACCAGCCATAAACAGAAGTGTGAACTATTGCAGGTTTATTTAACCTTACTGACACTGCATCCTTATTCACTATAGTTTGAGAAACATTATTTCCTGGTCAAGATCACTTGGTCTGAAGCTAGGTCTGGCCAAAGGAAGGAGAGGGCTCTCCCGTGATAAAAAGCACAAGTAAACTAGATCTAATCCTGATCTGTAAAAAGAATTTTGTATTTGCCTTTAAAATACAGAATAATAAGAAAGACGTTTCATAGATTGAACTAACATATATAAGAAGTGAAGAACCACCTCACAAAAAACTCCAACTTGTTACTCTTTAAACTTCAACCCTTTCTATCAGAAAAGTCTTACAGATTAGTAATACTTTAGGCACTTGCATGCACGTCCCAGCAAGCAAGCTATTTTACACTGAAAGGTGTATCATTTCAAGTATTAAATTTCTGCCACCCAGACACAATCAGCTAAACCAACCACGAACCTTGTTCCACTTTAAAACAGCTTTATAATTCCAGAATACACTGAGGGACTGCAGAGCTGTAGGAAAACAAAACACACACAAAAAAGTTTTCAAGAGCTATGCTGCTCCTCTTTCATAATAAAGACAATCCCACACAAAACTTCAGAGAACGCAGATGATAGGGAGAAGAAGAAAAGGAACTTCCATAAAGTCTCAACAAGTGAAAAAAATACATTCTGAGCACCAAAATCCCGTGATAGATTACTAGGCTACACAATAGTAAACCCTTCTCTTGAACATTTTTTTGTGTATTTGCATATGAACTTTAAGCTAACAGACAGGATGCAGAGAGTAAAGCTCATAACATTTTCAGTTCAAACTAATAATAGCATCACTTACCTAAAGATTGGTCTTTGGAGATGCTTTTTCTTGATTGTAACACAATCATCCATTTAAAGTTGGGAAAAAGACTTCTTCCAGCAAGTAACTCCAAAAAGATGAGGCAGTAATCAGGAAACTTGTTCTTTGCTACTCTGCTGCAGAGAGCACACGGAATGATATTTTGGTACTGGGGGAAGCCTCCCTCCCTCTTTCTGACAGTGGAGCAGAAAAGGGCCATAGAGGCCACAAGAAGCCAGGCACGGCCGTGCACTACCAAAGCGGGCAGGCTGTGCAAAACTGGAGTCAAGCTGATCGAAGTACAGAATCACACTGGATTCCTTTCGACTGTACAAGGGAAAAAGAGGAGCTTTGCCAAGGGCTATCCAGGTAAAAAACTGTTAGATTATTCCAGCCATGAGAGCATTTCTTACACATGCTGGTCAAAGTCCTAAATGCAGAGTCACTCTCTCTCTCTCTCTCTTTAAACACACTGTTCTGAGGCTCAACTTTTTTTTTCTTCAAAATAAAAGTTGTGCAGCTGTTTCAGCATTCCCATGTGAGTACCTTCAGAAAGTTTGTTCTGGTAAAAGGACTGTATACAAATTAATGAAGACAGATGGATCTGGTCTGTGAAGCTGGCTCTGCTTCAAGAGATTGTAATTATTTTGCAATCTGGCTTTTATTCACTCTGGATGATGTGTGGATATAACTATGCAAATTAAAGCACTGCTCATAATTTTTAGCATTCATAACCTAATAACCTAGACTTGGCTGAAGCAGAATATGGTGTTTGCAGCTGGTAGGACCATCACTATATAAAACAAACTGATGCTACTAAAGTGAGGAAAACAGAAATGACCAAGTTCAGATACTGACAGTAGCAAACTCTTACTGTTTGCCAGATAAGATTTCAACAGAGATCCAAACTGAAAGGCTTGCTCTGACATCACACTGACATAAATCAGGAAGTATTCAACCGCAGCAAACACAGGCTGTAAACAAAACTATAAAGCAGAAGCAGCTGACCGTGCATCTCAGTAAACTGAAGTCACAAGTGGTTCAGGTGAGATGCCATTTCCCGGGCATGTCAAAGGGCCATAACGAAGCTGTGCTGGCACACGGCTTGACGGAAAACATGGAACCCAGCCAGAGGAGCACTGAACCAGCAGCAAGCCATCATCACGTGTGAAGCTGCGCACCGTGGCAGGACGGTACCCTGGCACCATGTGCCCCCTTCCTGCCAGGGAAGGAAAGGACCTGCCATGGTTCTTGCTTCCCTGTGATCCAGCACTAGAGCTTCCTTGCAGCCTAACTCTTGAGAAGCACTAAGTACGTACTAAGTGAAGCTACTGATACAAAGCAAGTAGGATCAGGAAGGTTAGTAGCTTTTGCAATTGCATTATTGGTTGGAGGGATAGGAGGAGAGTGGTAGATTGACACAGTTAAGTGCATAGCACTGGGTAGTATTAAATTAAGTTTGAGAGATACTCTAAATCTGCAGAAAAGGCAAGATAAGTAAACTGAGATGTGTCTTCGACTATACATGACCAAGAAAGTCTGTATTACTTTATGAACAAGTAATTATTAACTTAATAACAATTCCATTAAAAAATACTATATACAGAGATATCAAATATTCCCGTAATAAGTATTTCCACAAAGGAAAATTTAGTGGTTTAGTGGGTTTTACTGAAATGGGTAAAATCTCTTCCTAGACCTAATATATACTGCTTATACAACATAGTGAGAGTGTCAAGTTTGGTTAGCTTGAAAAGACCCAGCAGCTGGTCCCCACACAATAAAAAAGTATTTTCTTGATGCAGCCATGGAGTAATTAACTAAAGCAAAAATTATAAGCCAAGCCACCATCAGTTATTTTGTGTCAGTTCAGGTTTCACCTTGCCCCACTCTTCATTCCTACTCCTTTGAGAAGTGGAGAGAAATACACCTTCATCGGGAAAACAATTACCTTTTTCAGGTCACAGATTAGTTTTTGCCAAGATCTTGAATGATATGAAGAACCTTCTTCAACAACATGCAGTGTGCAGAGCGTTGTCATATTTTTAAAGACTCTCATGTAGTCATAATCTTACTTATTCTTGCATGCCAAGATTCATGTAGTTTTCCTGCTCTGGGTTTTAGAATTTCAAACTAATTTCTGCTTTTTGAAGTGTGTTCACTCACTCTCTATAGAGAAAGCTGAAAATTACAAAGAAACCTCCCTTTCTGCTTCACATTATGTATGTAGGACTGCTTTACTTCTGTTATTCAGAGGGATTATCTGTAGATTAGGGTAAAAATCCTGAGATCTTCTGAGAGTTTCAAGAAAGAAAAGAAAAGATCTCCAAACTCTCAGTGAGAGCTATACTAAATATGTTTTTCCACTGAACTCCCCAACCTTTCATCTAGCAGTTTTATCAGTCCTGAAACTACTATGCATCTTAAAAGTAAATTTATCCTGGCCTGGTCCAAGGCACGTTGTTGTTCATGGGACTTCCACTGAAACATGGCACTGTAAAAAGTACTATTTAGGGGAGGTGAAATTCCTGCAGTGTAATTACTTTGGCTTCTAGGAATTTTAAACTGTTAAAGAAAAGACTGGGAAAGAAAATGTTAATATAAAATGGTCACAGAACTTCACTTTAATTGCATTGGTTTTCACCTTCCAAAAAGACTTCTTGGACCATTTTTTTCATTCAACACAGTAACAACCCACTGACTTTTTCTTCCTAATCGTGTCTACATGTTGAATGAGTATTCAAACAAATTCTCCAAGAAAGGGCACTTCAGAAAGGTATGATAGATTGACCAGACTGCTTGAAGCCCGAGTCCCACTGAGATTACCCCTGTATTGTTCAGTGGAAAAATCACATGTGTAAAATCTACCAGGAGGTAACTTTTTGCAGATTATATTAGAGTATATTGGAGCAATATCAGTCAACTGCCCAGGATATACCTGGACCTGATATACAGAATGCCTGAAGAGGTGCATTTTTATTAGAATAAGAAAGCCTTCTGCTTGAAAGCAGTATTGCAACTTTCAGAAGTCTTCCATAAGTAACATTCATCATATTTCTTACTTCAGACTAATCCTTTCAGCAGTAATTAGAATGGTAAACCACTATTTAAATGATGCCCTAGTTTTATGTTATTTAACTTGCTAACAGTGGATGAAACTCAAGCAGAACACTCCTGAATTGTTTGGGGTTTTTTTCAGTTTATTTTCCAGTTATTGTTGCTATCATTTGCCCATTGCAACCAATGACCATTGCTGTTTCTATGTAATGTAAACTATTTTTATTTCATCTCCCACACATATGTTCATGTGAAAGCAAACTTTTGGGACTAAAAGCATGTAATACTTGACCACTCACAAAACCTGAGTTTCCATAACCTCAAGACCTACAGCAATAGTTAAGTAATTTGATACCTAGTACTATGTCTCAAGGCAAAAGACTACATGTGAGCTAGGACCCAAAATATTTTAATTCTGCTTGTTTTAATGCCACATATTTCTTATTGATCTGTAGCTCTTTGACAGAAGTCTGGAAATGTAATTATTTTTCCTACTTTAATTTCAAAAATATGGGCAATTAAGATGGTAAATTTAAGAACCAGCAATCTGTCAGACAGTTGATTCTTTCTACTTTCTAGCTAAAATATCTGCTGGTTAATGAAGATGTGTGTAGGCATTGCTGGTTAAGGGCTCATCTACCTCTGTAGAAAGAAAGACAGGTGTGAGACCAACAGAAAGGGAAGACAAATTAAAAATGCATGATCAACCACATATGGGGAAGGAGAAATCATCTTTATGAAACTGTTGGAATGTAACTGAGAGAAATAATTGGTAAACTGTGCTGAAAGAGTAGTAATTCTGTCAAATTAAAAAGATAATTTATCTAAGAAGCTTGCTCTCCCAGGACCAGCCCTACACAATATTATTTTCTTCAATGGTTTAGATGGAGATAGGTGATATACTTAGTCCAGCACTGACAATATTAAGCTAATAAGCTCTTCTGAATGCTCTTGACAAACTGCAGAGACAGTCAGAAAAAAAGAGGATATAAAAAATACCAAGCTCTGCATACACAATAATCTGCTAGATAAGGGGCCATTGGCTAGGCAGCACTTCTTCAGAAATGCATGAGAAGTAGCAGTGAATCATCATGAATAAACTAAACATACTATTACAGTCTTATGAAAAAAAGACCAAGCATCACCCCGGGACATATAAAAGACAGTATCATCCAGAAGAACAACCTCCCATTCTCTCTGCTCACCTGACGCATTGTTTCTTGCTTTGGGGCAACATGATTCAGCAGAGACATACTGAACTAAACCTTGAGAAAACAGAAATCTAGAAAACACCTCATATGAGGAGAGGCAGAAAGTCACGCATAATGTACCCTAAAGAAAAGTAAAAGCAAACATAACTAAAAATCTTCCAGATTATAAACATAGCTGTGTAAGCTTTTGGAAACAGACTATTTTCCTTATCCTTGTGGTCAAGAAATAACAGGCTGCAAAATAGCTCATAGGACTATAAAGCTGTGGTAATAAAGATTCAGTGGTGGAAAGAATACTTTTCATTGAAAATACAAGGCTCTTGACAGAGCCTTGGGTGACATGGTTTAATGTGAGGTGTCCCTGCCCATGGCGGGGGGGATGGAACTAGATGATCTTAAGGTCCTTTCCAACCCTAACTATTCTATGAGCTTATGATTCTATAATCAGCACATTAATTGCTGAGGGGATCTCTTCACAGAATCACAATGAGCAGGTTTTTAAGGATAGACTTTAAAAGGCTGTGTAAACACACTTCAGAAATTACTAGCCTTGCCTTGGAGAAGAAAGAGTAAATAATCTCTGAATACACCTACCAACCTCATTGTTCTAAAATTCTTTGGTAACCAACTGCTATTATCAGCTACTAGCTGAACCTGCTCTTTAGTTTGGGATTTTTGTGTATGTGAAACCATTTACCAACAAACCGTATCATTTGGGCTTTTGACTCTTTCATCTACTTGCAACTTCATCCACATTTTGAACTTTGGTCCCTAATTCTGGCAATGAAGTGTAGCACTTAAAAGTGCTAATCCGTTAAATGCCATAATCTCTTCTCTGCTTCTATAAGAAAGCAAGGGGTCAGAGGCTTTCCCCTATTGTTCATGAACAACAAAAGAACAAGCAGAGAGCTAAGTTTCATGCATCCATTTATTTTCTTGACTAACTGAAATGGGGGAGGGGAGACAACATACTTCTACATGCTTCTCTACTTCCTTTTTTCTTTTTCCTTTTTTTTTTTTATGTATAGGTTTGTAATACAAAAATCTTAAGCAGGACTTGTGACAAGAATCCTATTTGGCTTTTCAGTACAATACCTTGCACCAGTTCACTTTTTATGAAAATTGTAATGTGATTAAATGACTAACTAGTGCATGAAATGGAAACTTTTTACAGTAGAAAACCAGTGTATCTTGTGCAACAAGATTTTTATTTAGGTATTCATATGATTGATGGATTATATCCACTCCATCAAGTCTGCACACAGGGTAAGCATTTAAACTCAATGCAAAAGAAACTGGAGGGAAAGATGTGAAATCCATCTATGCCATCA